GAATTGAAGGGCAGAGACACAGAAGTGAAGCAGAGTAAAAGTTTTATTTAAAATTACTTAGAGAAAAAGTGCAGGCAACCTCAGAGAGTAGTGCCCTGAAAGGTTGAAAAGAGAGTTTAAGATTAAAAGGTTACACACTTAGAAAGTGCGGGCAACCTCAGAGAGAGGAGTGCCCCAAAAGGTCAGGGGTTCCTCCTTTTAAGGATTCTTCAGGAATGTGACTAAGGGGCTGGGGGTGCAGACCTGTTAAGTGGTCTTTGAATACTTAGAATTAACTTAACACAAGGAACTTCCTGTTCTGATTTCTCCCTGAGATGCTGGCATCCTGGTCTGGGAGCATATCAAAGAAGACTGCCTGCCCAGCCCCAAGGTGGGCTGAGTTATTGTCTGTTTGCTAAAGAGTAAGTTAAGAATCTTACTTCTTAACTTCCTGGGTGTTAAAATGCAATCTTATCTTTAAGATGGAATCCTTCCTGCCTTTTACTATGGTGTTCACAGCTGGGCCTGCATGCTAAATTAGTTGCCTAGGTATCAAACTACTTGATTAGGTCTGAAGGAGAAAAAAAACAGCATATATGTAAAGTTAAAAAAATAAGCTGGGCCTGCATGATTAACACAATAAAGACATGGGCTATGCTGAGGTACCCTCCTTTATCTAGGGAATATTCAAACATTCGAGGCCAAGTTGCTCCTGGCTTCTTGAGCTTTAACTAATTAAGTCTGGGTTTTTTATAGTAGGCTTTTTCCTGGCCTTATTCTCTTTCTACCCCACCATATCTATTTTCCTGCCTAACACAACCTTTACTCTGGAAGAGGGCAGTATGTCTCTCTCCCAATAAAGATCACTATCCAGATATCCTTGAAAAGATGGTCCAGAAAAAGACTGCCTGTAAGACATGCAGAAATACTAGAGATCCATGAAGAATGGTCTCCTGATAATGACTAACAATGAATTCTTGGTCAGGCTTTCTGTCTTTATTGTACTTGTTTTTCCTAATCAGTAAAATGGGGAGATGATTGCCCAACTCACATGATAGCCTGAAATGAAACAATATTCCAAAATCACAAAGAGCAAAAATGATGAGTACTTAACTTTTCACATTATGTTAGAGCACCTGATAGCCCCGCTGAGAATGTAATTTTGTTGTTACCATTATATTGCACTAATAATCCACAACTAATGAAAACACAGGCAATTCAAAACCACTATAGGCTAACCTCTGAAATTGATACGGTGTAAAGAGTTAACTGTTTATTTTATTTAGCAATTGCATTTATACATTCCTATTCTGCCTTTGTAAATCCCTGTGCCTAAAACATTCTTTGAGCCTGCTCTTTTGTCTTCCTACTGATTGTCTCATTAGGGAAATATTTAAAAATTTTATAGAAAACTAACCAGTTTACCTTAAAAGTTTGTAAGTTTCTCAAGAGAGTTAAATGAGATATACATAAGCTGTCTGAAGTTACGTAGGGCATATTAGGTGTTCAATAAACACTGTCTTCCCTATTATAGTTCTAACATTCTATGATTTGAGGGTACTGAGCATAAATCATGCCAACTTTATCACATTGTAATTAAAATCACAAAGCCATATTGTTTCCTATTAGTTTTTAAATAATGATCACTTTCACCATTTGCCATATATTTTTAGGATCAATGTAATTTTGATTGCAACTATTCAGATGCTCCCATTGGCCAAATCACATTTATAACTGGAGCAGTTCCTTTAATTACTGCTCTCTTCATGTTTCCTTTCAGTAAGCTGGTTTCTCTCTTCCTCAAATCAGTCCATCACCTGAGTTTCAGGAATGGAGGAAGACAAGATGTAAGAAGTGGATGCTATTCAGGGACTCATCCCACCAAGCCCAAAAGAAGAAGGTAAAAATGTCTGCCCCTTTCTTCTAGTTGTTTCTGGACAGAGAAAGAGCAACACAGCATAGAGTGGAAGGCAGTCAGATAGGTGCATGGGTACAGGCAGTGCTGCGCTGGAAAACCAGGCAAGAGGAAGAGGAGGAGGAAGGAGGTCAGTTACACTACTGGGGGCGACGCAGAGAGCAGAGGAGCTCTTTCCAGTACCCGCTTTGCAGGGAGGCTTGGTACAGAGGGCCCTGATCTCTTTTCAGATGGGCCAAGAATACTCAAGTGGACATGGCCAGAAAAGCTGAAGATTGGATTTGCTAATAATACTGGTTTCCCTGCAGTATAGGCTTTAAGGTGGAAGACAAGGAGCCTGTAGGGAGCCTGCCATGGTCAGGGCCAGGTAATTCCACAGCTGAGGCTCGATGTGACAGTGATTCAAAGGAGTCTTCTAAACCTCAGTCATCAGAGAGGGTTTTCTAACAACTAGATTGTGAAAAAACATAACACTGTGAGTTTATCTACAAAGTTGTCAATAGCAGGTATCAACAGGTTCCCAAGGACCAGAACCAGCTGCACTAAACTACAGTGAAGCTAAGTTCACATTTGCCCGGTTCCACGAAGTCTTGTGGTCCCTGCCTCATACTCTCAGCTGTCATCCTGGAAAAGAGCAAGAAGAACACAGGGAAATCTAAAACACTGAGTAGTTTTCCAATAATTAAGTTAAACCTAAAGAAACAAAGTTATTTTGTCTCACAGTGTTTTATATCAGCCTAGGCTAAGCTTTTTTTGTTTTGTGTTGTTTTCTCCTCTACCCAACAGGTAGATACTTGATGAGAAAAATCAGTATTAGTAAATCTGTGACCCCACTACATATTTTTTTCAGCTGTTCAAACACTTTCTGTTATTACTGGAGGAGAAAGCAGTTAGAGAAAGCTTACATGACAGAGAAGCAATCTTGAGTTTTGGCTTTTTTTAGGATTTCAAACTGCAGCATTGTGTTATTTTTTCATAAAACATCAGCTATAATAGCTTGAGAGTGCAAAGTTACAACATTAAATAAAAAGAACTATAAGTAGCTGTACAAATTGCTCATTAAAGCTGATCACTGTCTTTTTATGCCAGGTAAGCTGTGTAGACCCATGAATAACCTAGCTGAAAATCTACATGTGATATTATTGTCCACATCTTGAATAGACTGTTAACTAAAGCCTAGATGTGGCAGTGATTCAAAGGAGCTAGCTACTTCTCAGCTACTAGCATCAACTTCATCCAAATCAGGTAAGTAAAAATTGTGTTTGACTTACGAGTAATGCAAAGCATGGCTCTGGTGAAATGGACAAGTTTGTAGTGATTTAGAACCTGGATATGTGAAAACTTGATTATAAGGTAAAATATGCAGAAGCTCTAGGAAAGGTGTAAAAAATGTCACCCAAATAGGGGAGCAGTCAGGGGAGAGCTGAAATAAAATATTTTCTCATAAAGTATACCACTTTTTTTTCACACTCTGAGAGGCAGTATATTGTGACCATTAAGGGCACAGGTCCACATGACAAGCTGCCTAGTCTTGAATCCTGTTCTGCCCCTTAATGACCCTCAAAATCTTGCTCAACTTCACAGCGCCTGGGTTTTCACACTTGTAAATAGTGATAATAATACTGACTTCACTAGTTGTTAAGAAGTAAGTGTTAATGTATATGTGGGATGTTTATAAGTGTGTCTAGAACCTAGCCAACAGTATGTTAGCTGGTACTATTGTAATTAACATTATGACAATGACCACCACACGTGTGAGGCACAGGAAATGCCGTAGAAGCAGGATTAGCATGACCCCTCCACACACACAATTTGCATTCTCCTAGCTGGTACAGATTAGACTGGACGGACTTTGATAATTAACAGATCAATAGGTTGTAATATACACATGAATTGCATCTTAAATGTAAACTGCAACATGTGTTGAAAAAACTGAAAACCACTAGTTGGTTTTTCAAACTGTCTTCTGAAAAGCCTGGGGGTTTGAGTAGTGATTTTTCTAACGGGATGGAGAAGAGTGCAGAGAAGGAGTATAAAGGAAGGAGACAGTGGAGTTTAGTGAATTCTCTCAAAGATCAATATTTTTTTCAGATGGCAATCAACATACAAGACGTTTTAGTAAGCAGCTTGTAAGTTACATATGTAACTGCTTGAAAAATGAGAGCCTTAAACAGGGTTAAGAATTTTCCTTTCATCTTGCTATTAACACAACAAATTAACAACCCATTAGATCTGTAGCAAACCATTTAGATCCTAAGAACACTAAAAAATTCAAACGGACCCCTCTCTATAGTATTTCTAATTCCTGAAGTCAAATTTACTTATACTTAATCCAATAGCAATGGCCCCAAAATGCATCTTTTGGGAGCTAGATGGTGGTATTCCATTTTCCAGAAAACCAAGTAAGGGCGACCCCCCAATTCACAAAAAGAAAAATAGATAACAAATTTGTGTACAGAGATCTCCATTTAACTTTTTTTTCCATAAATTTTCTTCAGCAGTCAGTGCCAATTACCATTACTGATAACAAGTGGAAACAGAATTAAATCAATACATAAGTGGTGAATCAAAGTTGATGAAAAGCCAGGAAGCTGACTAGGCTCAGCTTGATTATTTTCAGACACTTGGGGTATGATTTTATGGAGCAGACACATTATATGGTTTTATTTTTGTTTCCAGTCCACTCAGCAGAATTGCACATGTATTTCATAGAGTCACACACGCCATCACTTTCAGGAGCTCAGACGTCTGAAGGAGTCTGAGACCACCACAACCTATGCTCTTAGAGCTTTCATACAATCTAATAGAGGACCTAGTTTCCACACCCAAGAGCTGTCCTGGCAACTTGCAGGCTATTTGAGAAGCTGCAGGGTGATAAGCAACCATTACCATCAGCTGTGTTATTTGTGATCCATGCAGATTCATCCACCGGGAACAGGACTGAGAACATTGTATCCCAGAACACTGCATCCTTAGTCCCGAAATGAACAGCAGTTTGATTTGATTGCAAAACACAGTGGGAGAATTTGGAAAAGCATACTGTGGCTCTAATTCCAGGGGGCCTGTCCACTTTCCCAATGCCCTTGTAATTACTGGGAAGGACTTACCAGAGTTGTAGGAGTGATCCGTGTGGACCATGGAACCTTCAGGAAAGGCGGCTTACAGTCCACATCTGCATTGTGACCTTGGAGAAATTAGGAAACCATACTCAGTGGAAAGGCAAGGGGGACTTGGTAATGATGCCTTTCTCAAACATACAAGAGGGGAGTAGGGAGGAAGAAGAAGGAAACTGTGTTTATACTAAAAATCTCCCGTCTCAACAGCGTGTGACAACAAAACAGGATTATACTTTAGAACACCTGCCTCAAAGGGACCGCCCCCCTCCCACCTCCCTGGAACGTTTTCCAGGGATCTTTCTTCTGTGTGCCCAGGAAACAGCACCTCAAAACTCTTCAATCCTGCCACCTCTCACCATTGACTTACAAGATACGCCCTCCACCACGACCTGCAAGGTGGCTGGCCACCATCAGCCCAGCTGCAGAACGGAGACCAAGCTAAGGCTTTCATGACACTTGGGGATAACTGACATGCTATGGGAAACAGCTCCTCAGGGAGCCTGCAGACCCACACTAGCTTGGGGGCTGCTTGGGTCTCACTCATTTGCTCCAGTTGTTCTGCTTTTCTCTTAACTTTTCCCCTTTTCTCTTTAACTGAGAGTTAATGAGGGCCTCTTAAAGTGCCAATGTATAATTTCTTTCTCAGAGGCTTCGGAAACTGGAAACCTTGAATCTATCCACTCTGAAAACAAAATAAATGGGATACATTATTCATAAGTACATTTTGAAGTATGAGAGAGAGAATTATAGGCCTGTGGCTATTTCCAAACAGTGTCGTCCACATAACATGTTTCAAACATTCAGGAAACCTAAAAGACATCCACGATCCTGCTCAGCCTTCTCATAAATTTGTGATCTGGTGTAGTCTTTCAGAGATCATGTAGCTGTGCACACGTGAACTCTGCAGTCCCCAGGTGCCAGGATTCCCTGCTTCTCACACTCAAGGTCAGTTTACACTGAGCAACAAGATCTGCAGCCCCGTCCTCAGAGAACTGCTCAGGAATAAGGGAAATTTCCAATGCATTGGACTCATTGGCAGTGCTCCTGTTCTTTATAATTTCTAATGTTTTTCTTGTTTCTTGCCTGTCTCACATCAGACTATAAGCTCTGTGAGAACAGGAAATTCAACTATTTTGCTTATTAATTTATACCCAGAAATTAGATCTAGCACATAGTTGGCCCTCAAAAACTATGACTGAAATGGCTGACTGAAGTTTCAGAGAAGTGGATGAAATGAAAATGATGAGTCCACTCGGTGACTAATGGGGATGAATAAACCAGCTGGTGGGTTGACAAGCACAAGGGCAGGTCCCCAACTTGTGACAAGATCACCTGAGTAACAAAGTAATACGGGGAGAGGGAATTGGGGGATTTTCTAGCTGAAAGAGATAGAGGACAAGCTTAGTGACTCCCCACACTCACAGGTAGTAGGCAATTCAGAGGAGTATCGAGACTTCCTAAGTCCGGTTTAAGCACCATGTTCTCTGAAGCAGTGGCTGCAAATGGAAGACTATGACTGTCAGGACACACCAGGGTAACGGGCAGCTGACCCTGGAGCCTTCTTCTATCTCTGGTGTAGACACAGTGGCTTCCTGATCTGAAAACACTATTTAAAGGATGCAAAGAGGCAAAATTGGAAGCGTTGATGCCTGAGCTGAACAAAGGCAAGAGACGGGGGATTTGGTGTCAACAGGCTGTGTACACAGAGTGCGATGGTGGTGGTGGCAGGGAGGATGGCAGGGGAGGGCTGGGCTTTCAGAGGGAGCAGGCACAGAGGGAGGACTGTGCTGTGCTGCTTCAGTGGCAGCTGGGGTGTGTGGGAGGCATGTAAAGGGACCGTGGAGTGGGGGCTCTGGGAATCATGGCAGCAGTGAGGGGCTGGAGCGCCCCCTGGGGCCCCCAGCCTGTCTCTGCTCAAGAGTTCCAGGCCCCGTAGGACTTGGCCCCAGTGCCTCAGGGACACGTGGTGATTCCTTCCTTCCGCCCAGGTCCTCTCTGAGGCCTTCCAGCCCACCTCATCAGAAGCAGAACTCAAGCGTCTGCTCAGATTATTTAAATTTTTAACTCCAAAAGTTTAAAGGCTTCACGCCCACTGCTGCTTCTGGTCTAACAGTTGTCGCTTAACCTAAATCCAAAACATTCTGCAATGCGACCTTCTCTTATATTAAAAAAATGAAAAAAATCACACACAAGTTTATAAAATATAAAGATGAGAAGGGGACATTTCCACTGGTTTAGCTCATTCTGTGACAGAATGATCCTGCAAATCTAACCTTTAAGCTACAATTTTTACTTGCACAGTCATTTGTAACCACCTTTGCCAATCTGAGGGTGACAGTCTGGAAATACAGCTGAACTCCATGGTTATCCTTAGGTCACAATAAGCTGTTTTTGTGTACATGACTCTGTCCTTTGGCTTCTGCCCTATTTTGTAAATGGTGTCAGTGCAATCTCTAATAGCATCTTGGATTTATCTGGCACTATTCTTCAGAAAAACCTCAGAATGCTTTTCACAAGTGTCATTTCTTTATTCTTTCAGGACTTTCATTGAAAGATTCTCAGAGGCAGGCATAAAATAAAAAAACTATTCTTTCCTTCAAGAGAGCTCTATTAAGTGTTTCCTATTTCAGAGATTCTCTTTGCATTTACACATATTCTTTTTGGCTTTCATGTTCTCTTAGGACAGCCTCTTTTTGGCTCCCTGGATCTCATGTCACCCCCTTGCCATGGTCCCATTTTTTCCCTTTTCCTGAACAACATCAGGTAGAGAAGATTTCATCACATATATTTTCCTCTGATTTCCCCCCACACCTTCACTTTCTGAAAACCAAATGTGAAAATGGAATTCCAAAGTAAAAGTCTGGACTCATTTTCAAAGCTAGTCACTGATTGGCTGAGTCAACATTTTAAACAGATTACCTTATTTCAGTAAAGCAAACATCATAACTTTAAGGATAGCCCACAGAGTCCTATTTTTACAAATCAGAACATAATTTTACAAATCAGACTTAAAACTATTGAGGAGTCAAATGTTGTGCTACATAGATTTAGGTTTTCTTTTTTATTCTCATCTCGAAATGCTTAGTGAAAACTCCACACTCTATGTAGTTAGTAACCTAGTTAATAACTTAGGTTTGGTGGCTTTCCTTGCTACAAAGAGTTTATAATCTAGCATCTATGAAGTCCTATCACTTTTTTCTTAATAAACTTTCTTGCACCCATTCTTCATATTCATTTAACAACAAATATTTGTTTGCACCTATTGTGTTCACAGGCAGTGCTCACGCCTGGAATAGGGTGGTGATCAAAACCATTCAGTCTTTCTGTTTCCATGTGGAGAGCATATCTACTGGTCACACTTTCAGATCTAAAACCAGCAACTGAGAGCACTGCTCAAAAGGCAAGCAACAGAGCTGGCTCTGTGAGACTACAGAACAGGGGGCAAGACCTCAAATGGGAGCAGGTGGGAATCTGAGAACATGTCACTAAAAAATAACACTTTACTATAATTACTCTGCTGCACATTAGCTCTCCAGAACCTACCTGTCTTCTGGTTGCAAGTTTGTACCCTTTAAAATCTTCCCAATTCCCCCACCTCTGAACATGGGTAGCCACCATTTTACTCTCTGTTTCAGTTTGACTTCTTGGAGTCCACAAATAAGTGATGGCGTACAATATTTGTCTTTCTCTGGCTTATCTCATCACTAAGCATAATACCATCAAGGTCCATGCAAATGGGAGGATTTCCCCATTTCTCATGGCTGAAGAATATTCCACTGTACATATATATATATGCCATATCTTCATCCATTCATCCACTGATAGACACTTGGCTTGCGTCTTGGCTATGGTGAGTAATGCGGCAATGGGGTGAAGAACTTCTGCAAGAGGGTGAGTAAGACGATCAAGCCTCAAAGGCCAATCCACAGAAGCACCAGAGATTTTTTTTTTCAGTTGGGGAATTGGAGTTCAGGTATTTGTATTGATGATGGCAGGTGTTTTATTGTAGAATCAGGTTTATATTTTGAAAATACTCTGGTTACAGTGTAGACAAAAGAGTCAAGGTGGTCTATATTTGATGAATTGGGATCTGTTAAAAATCTATTAGGAATCCTGGAGAATGAGGAAAATGACATAGTGTGGTTGCAGTAGAAATAGGAGGAATTGGATTACTTTGAGGAATGTATAGAAGGTGAAAGTTGAGTGATTGGTAATGGACTGGACTTGAGAGTAAGAGGAAAGTGTCAAGGATGACACTTAAGTCTTTAGCTTGCACAGTTAAACAATGGTACCAGAAGGGAAATGTGGATATCATATGTTTTATGTTTTTGAGAGAACTAAGAAGAGACATGGAATTGGCAGTTTGATAAAAGGGTCTAGAGGTCGAGAGGTCTGGGATGTAAGTATAAGTTTGGGAGTCATCAGCATTAGATATGATGGATACTCTGTCCTTGTTGAAATTCCACAGAAAAGAGTACATAAGGAGAAGAGAAGATAGACGAGGACACAACTTTGAAAAAGTGCAACACTTAAAAATACAGAAGAATCTGAAAAATAATTGAATTAAAGGGTCCATGTGAGGGTCAGGAGGAAATGGGGAGAATGCGGTTTCACAGAAGGCAGGGTAAGAGAATATTTCAAGAATTATGGAATCCTTTACCTCATATCACATACAAGAATTAACTCAAAATAAATCAGTGACTGAAATATAAAGCTAAAACTTTAGATGGACATTATCAAAATTGAACACATTTTTGCTTCAAAGGACACCATACGGAATGTGAAAAGATGACTCATGGAGAATTTTTTGCACATCATATATTTGATAAGGAACATCTACCTAGAATATATAGTGAAGAATGCTACAAAGCAAAAAAACACAACTAACCTAGTTAAAAAGTAGCAAAACAATCTAAATAGACATTTCTTCAAAGAAAGTTTACAAATGACTAATAAGTACATAAAAATGCTCAACATTACTCAGCAGGGAAATGCAAATTGAAAACTGAAATATCACTTCACATCTGTTAGGTGGCTAGAATCAAAAAGTCAGATAATAACATGTGTG